ATGGATGGCCGCAGCTACCGTGCACCCATAGAAAACAACTATGTTGTACCGAGTAACACGTGGTTGCTTGTAAAGTCCACACCCTCGCTCAATGCATGGTTCTCGCGTCACCTGCGATGTTCTCGCTTCACCTACCTTCGCATTGTCGAACATGTTCAAACGGCGTGACTTCGGATTCACCCTGCGCTCCACCAACTCAACCAGTTTGGAATGATGATCGTGTGGCGTGCACACTCCACTATCTGACGCACTCTGACGGCTACGAGTCAACTGCAGCCTTGTTTGGTATCTCAAAGATGCGAGCTTACGAGTACTGTAATCAAGTGTACGGCGTCGTGCAACTCTTTTTCATATTGGAGACCATTGCATTACCTACGTCGGGCGATCAATGGGAACTGAACAGGCAAGGGTTCGAACGGCATGGGTTTCCGAATGCGTACGGTGCAGTCGACGGCAGTTTGATTTCAGTCAAATGATTCGAAGACTTTACTGGATGGTATTGCCGCAAGGGTTTTACAGCATTCAACATGCAGGCTGTCGTGGATCATCGAATGAAGTTCATTTCGTACTCATTGCGCTCGGGGAGTGAAAATGACAAAGCCCTTTTTAATCACTCGGCGTTTGGACAATCATGCCACCGGCGAGTCCCCGCGGGTGGTTGCTTCCTAGGTGATGCTGGTTACAAGCTCTATTCACACCTCATGACTCCTTACACGATTTACGCCGATATTCCCCAAGAAGAAGCTCACTATAACACTATACACAGTCACAGTCGCATGGTCGTGGAGCGGGCATTTGGACTCTGGAAGAACAAATTTCATATGTTCCAAACCACTACTTTAGTAGCCAATCAGTATCAATTCCTACTTCGCTTTCAAATGGACGAGGGGACCGTCTTGTGTGCCGCAGTACTCACCTCCGTGACAGCAGTTCTTACCTCCATGGATGGCCGCAGCTACCGTGCACCCATAGAAAACAACTATGTTGTACCGAGTAACACGTGGTTGCTTGTAAAGTCCACACCCTCGCTCAATGCATGGTTCTCGCGTCACCTGCGATGTTCTCGCTTCACCTACCTTCGCATTGTCGAACATGTTCAAACGGCGTGACTTCGGATTCACCCTGCGCTCCACCAACTCAACCAGTTTGGAATGATGATCGTGTGGCGTGCACACTCCACTATCTGACGCACTCTGACGGCTACGAGTCAACTGCAGCCTTGTTTGGTATCTCAAAGATGCGAGCTTACGAGTACTGTAATCAAGTGTACGGCGTCGTGCAACTCTTTTTCATATTGGAGACCATTGCATTACCTACGTCGGGCGATCAATGGGAACTGAACAGGCAAGGGTTCGAACGGCATGGGTTTCCGAATGCGTACGGTGCAGTCGACGGCAGTTTGATTTCAGTCAAATGATTCGAAGACTTTACTGGATGGTATTGCCGCAAGGGTTTTACAG